CAGCGCCTAACAAGCTGATGAAGATGGTGTCCACCATAGCCAGGTAAGTCCCTCGCCTCCTTCGCCCCCCTTCTTCCTCCTCCTCAAGCTGGGCTGCTTGCCATAGCCAGGCAGAGCACCCAACTCTCCTCCTTCCTCCCCAGCAGCTCTCTGAGAACCAGCGCCCGCTCAAGCAGCATGATGCCCAGACTTGCATATCGCAAATGAGTAGGACCTACTTGCTCCTCCAGGAGATATAGCGGCCAACCAGCCTCACGGCTGGTGACTTCCAGGCCGTGCGGCCTCCAAGCACCACAACCTCCTGAATGCAACTTCTGTGCCTTACCAACTGAGCTAGGCCCGCAGCGATCTCTTTTGTCTTTTACCTCCTCCCTTTCAGAGGGAAACATCATTCAGGCTCTGATATCGTCCGCACAGGCCCTAGACTCAGGCTACTGGGACCTACCACTATTGGGCCTCTAAAAATACTAACTTTGTCTTCTTCTGCTAGGCCTACTGCTACTTGAGTGGTACGGCCTAGCCTGCCTGCTACTTGAGTGTTTTTCCCCGCTGCCCTAAGTGTTTTCCCCACTTCAACCCTCAAAGGCAAGGCCCCGTGGTCTCTCCAACACACAAGTGCCCTGGCAGGCCACACACGCACTCAAGCACTTAGGCATCCCGACAAACACACGGAAACCAGCAAACACGCTTGCACACAGACTTAGAAATCTCAGCAAACAGCAGGAATCTCAGCAGACACACAATCGGGCGGAAAAACTAGGAAATCAGCACAGTTCTCAGTCTGTGATTTTGCAGTTCATTACAGGGAGAATAACAAGTCGCACAAGCTTCTGCAAAACACATTGCGAAGACAAGGTCAGTGAGCTGCGYCCCCCCCCCCCCCCCCCCCSCCAAAAAAAAAACAAAAAAAAAACAGTACAATGGGCCTAGCTCAGTTGGTACACCCCTGGACTGATGAAATACGGACCTCAGTTCGAATCTCAAACAAGTAAGATGAGTAAAGATCTCTGAATTTACCAGGGATCGGTCAGTTTGAAGGCCGTTGACTTTTTTAGATAAAGGGGAAATAAAAGAAAGGGGAAAAAAAGTTTAAAACCCTTAAAAAAGAGCAAGAACATGTTCTGGGCAGAGGCCCCCAGCAAGCCGAGTGCCCGCCCAAAGTGAAGGCGGGCCTGAATATTCATCAGAGGCCAAAATTCGACATGTTCACAGGTGGGTACTCAGGCTGTTGCAGCCCGCCAGTTGGTTGAGTGGACGCATGAGCCTCACTAAGCTGCGTCATACAGTTGGCCCAGGCCTCGGCAGTTGCGCCTGGGCACCTACACACACATGCAGGGCCAATACATCACGAAGTGGCCACAGGCCTACACAAAGGCAGCACTGTCGACGTACCTACCCCGGGTCCTGTACACATGCAGCAAAACGGCCCAAGTCTGGAGACTCAGGCCGTGCTCAACTGTAAAGGGTCTTGGGCCTGGGCGCAGTCACTTGGGCCCAACCGTAAGCTACTGGAAGCCTCCAGCCAGGCCACACGCAGCCACGCAGGGGCTGCCACTTCCATATAGGAAGGAGGGCAGCCAGGGGCTGCCACTTTGTCAATGGCCCTCAGGCATAGTGCGCGTGGGCGCACAGTCCTCTGGTTCATCAATAGCCCTCAGACACAGTGCGCATGGGCGCATGAAGGCAAGATCAGCAGCTACCACAGATCCAAATAGCAATCGGGTGCGCGTGGGCGCACAGTGACAGATTAGCAATTTCCACAGATCCAAGTGGCAATCCATATCAAACTACGCAGACCTGCCAAGTGGCTGAAAAAAATATCATATCAAGTTGCGCAGGTCTGCCAAGTGTTAGATCTGAACCATATCATGCTGCGCAAGCCTGCCAAGTAGTAGTTCAGAACTATGCCAAGCTACGCCAGGCTGTCAAACGACAGGTCAGAACTGTGCCAGACTGCGCCAGGGTGCCAAATAGCAGATCAGAACTGTGCCAGACTGCGCCAGGCTGCCAATTAGCAGATCAGAACTGTGCCAGACTGCACCAGGCTGCCAAATGGCAGATCAGAACTGGGCCAGACTGCGCCAGGCTGCCAAATGACAAATCAGAACTGTGCCAGACTGCGCCAGGCTGACACACGCATAACTTACGGAATCACTGATGGATTAAAGTCGTCGAGCGTGGACTAAAACCCGGTTGGAGCAGCAGAAGAAGGGTAGCATGGCGCAACCCAAAACGGGGGGGGGGCAGCGATAATAACGGGAGAGAGCGGAGCGAACAGGGAGAGAACGAAGGAGAGGATGAGAGAAAGATGAAAAGGGGCGAAAAGGAGGAGAAGATACGGAAGGCGGGGTTATGACCTTGGCTAAAAGCCTGATTCATGCCCCTGCTGTTGCAGCTCTCCCGCTCTCTTACCTCCTGTCTGCCTGGTCCTCGCTCATCTCGCTCCTCCCCCTGCTTGCTCCTTGCTCTAGTCCCAGCTTCATCGCACCAGCGCTTCCGCGTCCTCACACGTGTGTGTGTATCCCAGAATGGCACGGCCTCTCTTTTATAGTGGCAAGGCCAGGTGGTCGGGGCCAAGTACAGCAGTCCTAGGGCTAAAAACAGCACAGGACTGTGCTAAAATTAGCGCGGGACTGGGACAGTCCCGACTTTGGGACACAAACAGTCAGCCCCGTGCTAAAAACAGCGCGGGCCTGCACTAAATATAGCGCAGGCCTGCACTAAAATTCGCGCGGGACTGCGCTAAGAATAGCGCGGGCCTGCGCTAAAATTAGCGCGAGACTTGGGACAGTCCTGATTTTGGGACATGAACAGTCAGCCCCGTGCTAAAAATAGCGTGGGACTGCGCTAAGAATAACACGGGCCTGCGCTAAAAATAACACGGGCCTACACTAAAAATAGCGTGGCCTGTGCTAAAAATAGCACGGACCAGTGCTAAAAATAGTGTCGGGCTTAGACTGGCCCGACTTTGGAATACTAAGAGTCGACCTTGTTTTGAAAATTAAACACACCCCTCTTAATCATAATAAGGGTCCAATCCCGTATTCCCTTGACCTTTTCCGGTCGTGCCCTTCCCGACGCGGTAAGTCCAATCCCAAGTGGTCTACTCTATTTTTCTCACTAACCCTTGGTCCGTTTTCAGTGTCATTCGGACCGGGCCTCACTAATTTGCCCCTTGCAAACGTGGCGGTTCAGCCCAAAAGCCGCAATTTGGCTCCCATGGGGCTGGACCATCGTGCCGTCTTGTCCGCTGACTCGGCCCAAAAGGGACCAACCAGTGCGTCAACACTTTGCTGATCGTGACCACAAGCAGCCCTACGGTGCGAAGGCTGACCGCGACGAGTCAACTATACGTTGACGCGGCGCGTCGCTCTCCGACAACCATACCAAACCCCATTCCTGGCGTCCCCGCCAGGATCCCTCTACTATAAGGGGATATATATATATATATACATTACTTCTATCATTCACCCTCAAGTCTGCTCAAACGAGTGCGCGACGCTATTGTGCTTCTGCTGCTATTGTTGTCATCACTGCTCTCCGCTTGCTTGAACATTCGCCGCACCCGTGCTATCATCGCTCAGTGACTTACATTCACCATGCCGCCAAAGACGCGCGGCTCGGATGCTGGTCGAGGGAGAGGTGACCGTAAGGGGATGATTGACTCAGACCCCACCATCTCACGATTGTCTGTGTGTTGAGTGATATCTGTATGAGTCAGTCTATGTGAGTCAGTCCATTTATCAGACTTCTGCTGCATACATGCTCATCCTATATTGGTTGATCTCTTGGTTCTGCCCATGCTTGTTGAAGTACTCACAAGTATGCAATAGTTTTGGTATCGGAGCAGACCACATAATGGATCTGCTCACAGGGTAAGTCTGATTTAGGAATAGATTGCTTATTCGATCTTCCCAATCATCTCTACGTTACTACCGAGATTCAAAGTTACATTTTTTTATTTTTTTTTTCGGTATTCTGTTTAATTCGGCATTCCGTGTCAATTTGGTCTTCGGACTTTCAATTCGGATTTCTGTTTTAATCCGGTATTCTGTTTAATTCGGTATTCCGATTAATTGGTATTCTGTTAATCCTATATTCTGTTTTAATTCAGTTTTCTGATTCTAATTCGTTATGCTGTTTAAATCAGTATTATGTTTTAATTCGGCTCTGATTTCCATTCGGTAGTCCATTTTTAATTCGGCATTCTGTTCTTAATCCAGTATTTTGGTTGTTAAATCGGTATTTCTGTTTTATTTCGATATCGGAAATTAGGGTTACGATAAATTTCGGTTTTTCGTTCAAAGGGGAAATTTGAATGTTTTGGAACCGTAAAACAAAAAATTCCACGAAATCGCGGAAAATTAGGGTTGGAATCCGAAATTTTCGCGAATTTTTTTTTTCTTTCCCTCGTTCGAGAAATTCCGAATACGGACTCAGGCCTCTAAAAATCGGACTTTTGTACGTTGAAATTCCCAAAATCTGCGTTTTTCGAAAATTCGAGTGTTTTTCTTCCTGATTATCCGAAGAAGAAAAAAAATGGCAACTGTTCGGAATCGTTCCCTCAGAATTGCATTTTCCGGGTCGTTCACTAATCAACGGTGAGCTCCCGGACCCTAGGTGATCTCAACGGATACCTAATATTTTCACAATTTAAAATTTGGTAATTATCATTATTGCATTTATTGTTTTATTGATTATTATTAAGAGAGTATTAATTCGTTATTAATCATTAATTTTGATTATTAATTCATTATTATTTCTTATTACGAATTTTTAAGTTGTTTTGGGGAAAGTTTATCTTTTTCCTTTTGATTAGGTGTCTAAGTCCACATTTGAGACAGGGACTGTATGCGAATTGTTTGATCTGTTCTACCCCTGTGCCCACCCTCTCCCTCTTACTGTTTTGCGACCTTTCGGACAGGCCAGCCTTCAGCAGCAATTTCCTGATGCCAACAGGGCAAGCCACTGAACAACAGCCACGACGCCGCAAACGGCTCGCAGATCTCCAACAGCAACCTACAGTTCGACAGCAGCCACAAACCAGCACACAGATGGTGGCCACGCCTAACAGCGGGACGTCGTCCGAGACTTCGACATCTAGTAATGTCGAACCATTGCCGGTCTGTCCTGTTCAAGGGCCGAACGAGTCCATCATGGACTACATTCAGAGAGTGAAGACCTATACGGACTCACTAACCCTTGCCAAGGAACGGCAAGATGCTACCGAAGCAGACAGACAGAGGCTGGCAGCAGAAGCTGCAGCCCAAGCCCAGCGACAAGCTGAGGCGGAGCAGTTGGAAACCGACAAGCTCAACGCCGACAGTGTCGAACTTTTGATCTCTCAACAAGATCAGTGGGCAACTGTACTCAACGGGATGCGTTATATCCCCGTAGCAGGCGCCGAGCCAACGGCAGTACAGCAGGAGAGACAACACCTGGCAGACATTCTACTAAGCACAGTGCGCGCAGTTATCTGGAACAACACCATGGGTGACCTTCATTCCAGGTCTACACGGCAGCTGCAGCACAATCTTAACCATAACGTGAAGACTCTTGCAGCATCCATCAAGATCGCGGACTCCCAGCTGCAACAGATGGACACCCGCATTGCTGCTCTGGAGGCAAGGCCTTCCCAAGCAGCGCCAGGCTGCACGACAGACACGGCGAAACAGCTCGGCGAGCGCATCGACCATGTCGTCAATCTAATCGGCGAACTAGGTGATTTCACTAGTCCGGCCATGATCAGCAGCACGGTGGCCGCCATCAAGACGGACATCACCAAACTGTAGACAAGACCGGACGCCGCTACAAAGACATACAAGATGCCGCACTTCAACATTAGCAAGTTTGACGACTACAACAAGACGAACGGACGCCTTGACATGGTGGCAAGGTTTCCTCACGGAAGCATCCTGCCGCACTGTCCCGGCTGAAGACATGATGAAAGCGCTCTACCTCCAACTGATTGGAGGAACACAGGCATGGATGAACCATGTTGCGGCCGGCAAGAAATGCACCATCGCCGAACTCCACACGCACATTCCGTGGAAGGAGTTCGAGCAACTGTGGTTCACTCGATTCATGGTCCGCAACGTCGTGAAGGCGGCCATGAACGAGGTCTACACCAGCTCACAAGGAAGTATGCCAACTCGAGACTGGACGATCAAGTGGCAAGAGATAGTAACCACTCCAGGCTTCGACTTGAGTTTTCCAAATCAACGATCCGAATTCTTTTCGCGATCATGCGCAGGACTGCGGTCGACACTCGGCAACGAGTRCAATTATGCCTCATTCCAGGCTATTCTGGATCGTGCGAACCTGGTCATCCAAACGGATGACAAGGCCGCTAACGAACGGCAGTCCCAGCCGCACTATGTGGCTAAGCAGGGCTATCAACGACCGACAAATAACAATGCCATGATTTCTAATGAATCAGTTGATCTCCACGCTGCAGCAGCATCCTCGAGTGATGGAGGAACTGTTGAAGCGCTCCCGCCGACGCGTCCCAAGAGAGTTCGAAAGAAACCGGCGACACAAGCGACTACAGCGACGGGAACTGGGCAGCAACCATGGACGACATACAACACAGCCAAGGAGGTATTTGACCTACGTTAACGGTACGGATATTGCCTATGGTGCAATAGTGTCACACACACTACCGCACAATGCCCGGACAAGGGCAAGGCACGCGTACCCCGTCCAGCTAACTCGGGAAACTGAGTTACACAAGGAGAGGGGCGACGCCTCTCCTCACTCCGCCGGAACCGGTTGCCTTGCTAGCAGCCGATATCACTACCGGGGAGCTTGCGATAGTCGCTGATTCTCGTGCTACATACGAGGATTATGCCGCCCAGCTGGTACCACCATTAGACCAGCCTAGCCACGTGCACTTAGATAGCGTATGCGCAGCCTGTCCACCGTCGGCAAGTGATCCGGTCAGCTCACCACCGATTTCCGAGGACTCGACGGCTTGGTCAAGACTTGAGGAGCTTGACCCGCTCACGAGAGAGGACTTCGCTTGGATGCCTCTACCCTCAACCGGAACCTTGCCAAGGCCGCATTGCAACGCCTTCATGGCAAATCTATGCTCCTATTTGCACACTGCAATACCAGCTCCGTTGACGGACGACGGAGTAGCGGTTGTCGATCTCCGCTCCTATCTTGCGAAGATTGACCGCAAGTATGCCACCCAAAGGTACGCCGAGACCGACGCATCTTTGCTCTATATTCGCATTCAAATCGGAAAGGCAACTTGCAGTGCCTTGATTGATTGCGGAGCATCTCGCAACTTCATGAGCCAAGCCTTTATGGCCCGCGCAGGCCTTGGCTTGCGCGTTCGAAGGAAGACGCAACCTACGGAAGTTACACTCGCAGACGGTCGCACGCAGAAGTCAATTGACCGATGCGTCGACGGCATTCCGGTATACTTTGCGCCACTTGCGTGCGAGTCGGTGTTTTTTGACATCCTCGACACCAAGGTCGACATGATTCTAGGCATGTCTCGGTTGCGTAGCGCCGATCATCCGGTGAACTTTCATGACTGAATCGTTCACATCCGTGATCGGAACGGAGTGTTAGTCCCATGTACGGTCGCGACCCCTCACACTTCAATTGCTTGTCACGTGGTTTCCGTTGCAAGAATTCGCGACGCCATAGCCCGGAACGACGTCGAGGAGATGGGCCTTGTATTTTTGCATGCTCTCCCCTCGCCGGACGGACCAGCCGCGTCACCGCCGTACCCACGCATTACTCACCTCTTGGTCGGGTATGGAGACGTCTTCAAGGCTCCCACCGGAACGGTTCCGGATCAGCCCATACGTCACGGGATCAATCTCGAGACTGGCGCCATCCCTCCGCGTGGATGCATTTACCGCATGAGCAAAGAGGAACTCGAGGTGCTTCGCGCACAACTTGACGACCTCCTTGACAAGGGCTGGATTCGCCCTAGTTGTTCGCCTTACGGTGCTCCTGTTCTCTTCGTCCGAAAGAAGAACAAAGATCTACGGTTATGCATCGATTATAGAAAACTTAACGCACAAACCGTAAAGAACGCCGGCCCTCTCCCTCGGATCGATGATCTCCTTGAGCGGTTAGGCGGTACAACGTACTTCTCGAAGTTGGACTTGAAGTCGGGTTACCACCAGATCGAAATCCAGCCTCAAGATCGGTACAAAACCGCGTTCAAGACGCGGTACGGGCACTTTGAGTGGGTTGTCATGCCATTTGGCGTCACCAATGCCCCCACAACTTTCCAAGCAGCTATGACAACTGAGTTTCGCGACTAGCTCGATCGCAGCGTCCTCATCTACCTCGATGACATCTTGGTTTATAGTAGGACGTTGGACGAGCACATCGTACACCTTCACGCTGTTTTGGATCGTTTGCGACCGGCCAAGTACAAAGCGAACCTCGACAAGTGCAAGTTCGCCAAGCAGGAGCTTGAGTACTTGGGTCACTATGTCACGCCGAAAGGCATTCGTTCCTTAGCAGACAAGATCCAAGCCATCATGGATTGGCCGGATCGCGGTTGCACGACGGATGTACGCTCTTTCATGGGTTTGGTTGGATATTATCAGCGATTCGTCGAGTCAAACTCGAAAGTGGTCACTCCCTTGTCGAGACTTCAGTCCCCAAAGGTGCCCTTCGAGTTCGACGACGCAGCCCGTGGCGCGTTCAATACGTTGTCAGGTGGCCACAAGCAGTGCGCCGCCTGAAATCTACGGTTTAGGGACTTAGGCTCAAAGACAAGTTCGTGCAATGACGGTACTCTGGTTTGACCATGCAGCAGAAATTAGGGGCACCCCCGAGTACCCCTAAGATTAGATATGACGCCCGTTGAGACTAGCTCTCGAAATTGATAAGAAGGACTACCTTACCGCGGCGGCGTCTATCTCAATACCGCCGTCTTTAGCTCGTTTCCGGGACGGCCGCCTGCTGAACAGCAAGATGGAGATGGGCTTGGGCGTGGTTCTTTTACGCTCCACAACTGACGCAGAAGTGGGGCCTCGGATATCATCAATTTTGGCATCAAAATTAAAGAAAAGAGAACTTGAATTAAAAACAAAACAAGAAAAGGAGAAAAACGGAATATTCATTAATTTATTCAAAATCTTTGATGTTTGATTTTTAATGGGATCGCCCTCAATTATTGGACTTTCTGACAATAGAGTGAAAAATAAGAAAGAGGGATCAAAGGCGATAAAAGAAAAAGAAAACAAAGAATTTTCGTTATTTAACTGAATTTCATCGGAATTTATTTTTGACAAGATTGCTTTATTTTTGTTATTTTCGATAATGGAACTAAGAAATAAGGAAAATAATTAAAAATAATAAAACGAGAAGGAAATCGACGATTATCTGATAATTAACTAATTTTTACTTGGTTATTCGCGAGGGGTGCGCCACATTGTTCCAATCCGGGTGTTGTGAGTGAGTGTGGGATGGATGCCTGRCCCGGGATTACCACCGGTGCTATTTTGCCTGGGCTTCATTGCTTGGGTGTTACCGCTGGGTCGATTCGGGCACGGTACTCTGGTTCGGGACAGGCTCGGTATTATTACAACGCATTGYTGSACGGTACGGCAMCCGACACCGAGCGGTATGATAATAGTGCAGGCGGCGGTAAATCAGAGCGTTTCTTCGGAACCGGCATTGGAACGCTTGYTGGAACGGCACTGGTATGGGACTATTATCGCAACGGCATTGGCATGGGCGCTAATGCAGATTGGCACAACTATTGGTTCGGCATCGACACAAACTGGAACAGTATAGGACTATTCGACCTTGGTATTTGATGGTCCGGCGCTCTGATTTGTTTCAGGGCTGCCTCAGTTCACAGTTCGCTCCATTGATAGTGGCACAACACTAAAACAGAGTACTACAGCCTGCGCTGTTCTTTTTTGGGGTTCGGAGACAAAAAAAGGTGCAGGCACGTTGCCTGTGACGTTGCGCAGATTCTGGCTGCGATTCGGCACTTCGACCCTGGAATGGGCACCAGTTGGCCACTTACACAGTCCTGGGATGGCAGGCCATGGCCCGGACCTGCTGGGTTTAGAAATTGGTCACTGGTTTGCTGTTGGAACAGCTACCGCACTGGACCAGGGCGCGATGACCGGGCCTGGATTGACGAGGGCAAGAAATTTTCTGGGCCTGGAGCATTGGGACTGTAGGGACTGCGACGCGGACCGAGTGGAACCAGGGCAGTTGGCCAYAGGCAGTGGATATAGGARAAGCAAACGGGTACCAAGGGGAGKTTTTGGGGGKAGATGCGTGCCAGGCGTACCCAGCATCCCGGAAGTTGACCGGAGACGAGCAACCAATGAGAGCAAGCACGAGGAGGAGGCGACAGTGGGGAGGCGGTAACTCCGCGCGTGAAGAGAGTGACGTGACG